TTTTTTTTTTTTTTTTTTTTTTTTTTTTTTCAATAGAAGTCAGAAATATGATTGATTTATCTAGGAAGTTTAAAGTGAATTCGTTTCAATGAATATATCTCACTCTCTCTCTCTTCCTGTATTTATTTTTTTCTTCATTTCTGTTCAACATTTTTAATTATTACATGAAGAATCTATGAGATATTTGTGGAATTTGTACGTGTGATTCGCATGACCTCGATTTAGAAAAGATTACTTTCAACTTCTCAAATATATAATTTCTTTGTTCTTTTTTTTTTTTTTTTTTTTTATCTAAAGGAATTATTTTCCATTTCTAATTAGTCACATCCTGATGTTTCTGCCATAAAAACAAATAAATGTCTCAACGGTTCAAATGGATTAAAATTAAATAAAATTTTAGCCTTAACGCTAGTTTGAAAGTGTGCATAATCGTTTCCTACTTAGAGAAAGTAAATGATCTTAACGAAGAAAAAATATACTTATCGTCAGCGATTCATGATATATGATCGCATAATATAGAAGATGGAGAAAATATCAAGGATAAATAGACCCTCAGAACTCACCCTCGACCATCCAACCACGACCTCGATTTTCGATCTTGATCTTGATCTGGGTCTCGACCTCGACCCCGACCCCCGAGCACAACCTCGATCTAGTCTTCTGGCTAGTTTCGATTCTTCGCAGTGTTGCCTGTTATAATAGCAGTTTTCCCGGGTTGCGGTTGTGCGCGACTATAGCTGGACGGCGACCACCTTTCTTTCGTGAGAGAAAAGATCGATAATGGAACGAGAAATAGATCGATCAAACTATTCGTTCCGGCGATGTTTCGATGATCAGAAGTTTTCACGATAAATATATCGAACGCTCGACACTCGACTTTTGACGGAGTTTCGAGCGATTCAAATTACGGTCTTATCGTTCAAATATTTCCGCATCATCGAGATTTTTTTCTTCCATCCAAGAATCTTAAAAGAGAAGAGAAATATATTATATAGCGAGAGCGACGAGGAACTTGTCCGAGGAAGCGAACACGCCACGCTTAGACGCGTTTCAGAGTTTCGAATGGGACTGTGAGCCTCGTAGAAGAGACATGCTGCCTATGAGTCCCGACTAGTCCCACTTACCAACCAACCAGAGACTCCTTGACTATGCGTGGAATCCTAAGCTGCATCTCCGCCAATCCTCTACCTTCCTTTGCTCCTCCATCGACACATCTACCTATCCACTGCCGACTGAATACTCTAGATCGATAGCTGTAGATATATTATTTTCGAAGAGAGAGCTATTAGGGGCGAAATTTGACAGAAGAGAATCGTAACAAACCTGATTGTGGAAGAAACTTACGTACCGGATCGTTAAAAAAAGAAAAAAATGTGCAGAACACTTCGATGATCGAAGTGTAAATGCAACCTTTTTTCCCTTCTCGTCTTATTCCGTTCCCACGCTTTACTTCCTTTTCCTTGATTTCTTGCTTATTTTCTTATTATATTTTTCTTATTCTGTATCTGTATCTTTTCTTTTTAATTATCTCTTCCTTTTAATTTTCATCTCATTAATGAAATATATATACTTCGATAAGAAAAGATTGGTATTCTTATTCTTATTGTTTTTTCTTCATTGCAAATGTCAGTTGAATTAATATTACCGTTAAATTAACAAACGTATATATGAGCCAAGTATTTAAATTTACGTGGAGTTAATTGCGCATGCGCACGAACCGTACTCGAAAAAAGCGAAAACGGAAGCAAATCGAATAACATCGATAGCAACGGTACCGCTACTTTTCACGCGTTCGATCGAATACCAGAAAAATATATCGAGCATGAAATCATTCTGGTTCTCATCGGGAAACTAGTTACCAGTTTATTTTATCTATGCACCGTCGAAACCAGATCATTGAACGATAGGTTTGTAATCTGACATGGTCTTGATTTTTTGCATACTCTAGCCCTACATCTCCGATCTCTGTAACATGCCGATCCTCCCCTTGCAAATGTAACCAATCTATGTAACGATTTCTTTAATGTATCCTTACACATTATAATGCATGTGTAAATGATACGTACTATCTACAATAGTGATTTAATTAAATTTGTTATACTTGAGCAACCGATATCGAATCGTATTAATATATGTAATAAACTATTGCAAATTCAACCAATTAAGTTTTAATTATTATTGCATTCACGTAATATATCTATTTTTAATCAATTTTCACAATCATATTTTTAAATATCTCTTTTTTTTCCTTCGCTTTTTCATATTACTTTTATATTTTTTCAGAAATTTTTTTACATCATAATTTTTTGATAAATTTGTAATAAATTTTTTAGAGCACTCATATTTTTTCAGCACAAATTGTTACGTATGACGTGTATATATAATTATAATAGTACATTATCAATTGGTAATTTAATTATTAATGTAACTTAATATATAAAAAAATGCAATATTAAATTATATATTTCAAATGCAAAAAATTAATATTCGAACATTGGTTTAACTTTATTGCTCACAATTCATACATTTCTAATCGGTAACTTTCAGATTTTTAACTTTCAGCTATGTAAAGAAAGCGTTAGTACTTTACAACTTTAAAACTTTCGCCATCTAGCGTTGCATGTTGGAAACTTGTATCTATATAAAGATTTAATTTATCGATTGAAGAAAATTTATTTATTTTTATGAAAGGCGAAAAAAATGGAAAACAAATTTGATTCTTTAAAATCAAATTATATTTAGTATTATTTTATTTAATATTTATTAATTCA